GTCCACACATCTTCAAGCCGCCAAGGTTGAGGAATCCTGGTCTAGATAGTTTTATCTGAACAGGATACATTCCTGTATGTCACAGGCAATTAAGTAAATTAAACGTAATAAAAGAATTAAAAGCGTTGTAAAACAATAAATAATCTCCCGATAATGTAGTCAAACCAAGATGAAAATTGAAGTCAAAACAGCACATAAAACATGGTATTGACATAAAATCGAGATAATTGGCTAAAAGAGCTTCTGTAGAGGAGAAGTTAAGGTGAAAAAAAAAAGGATTCTAGGCTTTTCTTAAAGCTTGTCAGAAAAGCAGCAATTATAATTGCAATTACCTGTTATTCAGAAGATGATTGTAATTTATCCTTAAAGTGGGGAGGGTAACACTAGCGCGTTGCCTGCATTCACACAACATAATTAAGCTAGCTATGAATTAACCCATTAATCAAGTGATCTGAGCTCACCCTATGTGCTAAGCCACAGAAATGTTTAATCAAATTTAAGCCTAACTGAGGTTAGCATGTTGTGCCAATACAGCTTTGAGATGATGAGAAAAAGTAGGGCTTGGGTTCAAGTCCAGCCTCAGCCCTGGAGCTCACTGTCTTGGGCCAGTCTCTCTTTCTCAGATCGGCCTACCTCACGGGATCATTGTGGAATAAGACTGGAAAAAGAGCAGTGTCCAGATGGAGTTGTTAGAGAAAAAGCAGGACGTAAATCAAACAAATCCATTCCTAACCACGATGACACCAAAATGGTGAAACATGAGCCATGTCTCAGGGTCTGCCTTTTCCCACTTGCATTACAACATTGCATGCAGGTATGGAAGGGTTGGGATTTGTGTCGCTGTGTTACAATGCACGTGTTATCTCTTCCCACCTATCTGCAGAAGCTAATGCAATTAATTGTTGTATTACCTGCAAAAACTTTTTGTAGGGCGCTGATGCCCTTTAAAATCCAAACAGGTTGCAGAAAATAATTTGTCATCTACGTAGGGTAAGAGAGCCTATTCCCAGTGCTGTTAAACTGATAAGGGCACTCAGGTTGCAGCCGTGGTATTTCTGACAAAACTCTCTGTTTTATTGATGTTAGTTACCGCAAGATATCAGGGGACACGTGTTCTGGGGGTGACATAGAGGCCCGGTTAGAAGGGGAATCTGTACCCTGTCCATTAGCAGGTAAGTCAGGGCTGGAGGCTCTTGTTGCAGAAATAGTATTAATCAAAGTTGTGGGGTATGTAGATCAGCAAGATAAAGTCTCCCTTGAGTTAAGCTTGACTCCTGCTAACTAATAAACATGTGCTTCATTCTTTTGAGATCAGCCAAAACAGACCAGGGGTTGTTGCCTGCTAAGACAGTTGATCAGTAGCTTTGATTAAATGATTGGGAAACGTCTACTGCATCATTCAGGCAACATTTTTTAAAAAAAGAAATTAAAATTAGTTGAAATAAAAAGGACTTAAAATTGTCCAAATGACAAACACTGCAAGATAGGAAGGAGGGTTCCTCCTTTTCTTAAAATAAAAATACGTATTGGGGGTGAAAAATGGGTACTTGACAATGTAGCATATGGTTAAAAAAAAGTTTGCTTGGTTATGCTTACATCTTAGCCATTTTTTGGAGGAAAATAAAAACTTTTCAGTCTTTACATCAGCTAGAAATGATGCTATAGAAGCAGAATCTTCACAGTCATCCCTTTAGGACATTAGATCTCAGTAAATGCTCCTTCCCGAATGTAAAATTTCTGGTTCAAAACATTGGTTGGCCAATTTTTCTGCAGAGGAGAATGAGTTCATCTTGTACTCGACAAGGTACGCCATCCACCGGTACGATCTCTCCTCTGGTCTCAGTGAAGAGTTGCCTCTGACCGGGCTGCGTGGGGCTGTGGCCCTTGACTTTGATTACAACCATAACTGCCTATACTGGGCTGATGTGACTCTTGACATTATCCAGGTTAGTGACTTGCATGGGCTCCTTTGTTGCAAGGTAATTCTACCTTGCCACTGGATTTGAAGGTGGCTGAAGAAGAAAGCATGCAACACATTGTAAACCCTAAGCAGCTGTTTTTCAGGTTTTCCAAGCTGAAAACCCAAAGGAAGTGTTCTCTAAGTTTTGTTTCAAGGGTAGAACAAAACTTGGCCTTTTCAGGAAGTTCTGGACATAGCAAACAATCTCAAACTAGTCTGTTTTGGGTTAGGAACAGACTATTTTGAACATTTCAAGCTCGAAACGGAACATGTCTTTCTGGAAGCTTTGTTCTGAGGTTGGAACAAAACTCTCAAGGCATTTTGAGGTTTGTTGAGGTGGGACACAAGAGGGCCGTGACTCCAATGGGCTTTTTTGTTCCAGTTTCTGATTTCTTGGACATCCCAAAGGAAGAAAATTCTGTGCCAGGGGAAAATTGGCAAGACTGTTTTTAAGAGAGTGGAGAGGAGGGTTAGTAAGGAAAGAAGATTGACAGAGCAGGAAATCAAGCCTTCTGTTTCAGATAATGGCTTCTATTTAGATGGGGGTTTAGTCCCATTGAGTTTGGGGGCTGGCTCAAAGTCACTTACTCAGGTTTCAATGAGACAGGAAAAGTTCTTGGGGAAATGTTGGAAATGCAAGATTTTTTTTAGCTTGTTCCTCCAACACAAATGAAGAAATCTGGTGTCAGATTTGCAGGCATCTCTCTCTCATTTAGATAATTCCTCCTAATTCTGATACTTCCTCCAAAGATCTCCTGTATCCATCTGGAACTGGGTGGTAGAGAAAAAGTGGGATATAAAGAAAAATGTGGGTGTTTGTTGCTTTCTGTAGTTGACCCAGAAGGAAAAGCCTCCAGGTGTTACTGCAACCTCTTCTAACTTGAGCACCAGTAATGGCTGGAAGTTCTGGGAGGTGCAGTCTTAAGACGTCTAGAGGCTGTGAAGTCAGTGGACGTTCTCCACCACTTGTTCCTATCCTGCTGGTCTTAGCTTTAGGGATTCCCTCTTGGGTTTTGCTGGCATCAGACCTGGCAGTTGACTTCTTTGATGGCTCAGATCCATTGTGCTTATTTTCAGCGCCTGTGTCTCAACGGAAGTTCTGGGCAGGAAGTTATCATTGGCACTGGCCTGGAGACTGTTGAAGCGTTGGCCTTCGAACCCATCAGTCAGCTGCTCTACTGGGTGAATGCCGGCATTCCCAAAATTGAGGTATGCCTCTTTCTGCTTGTAGGAAACAAGCCAGGAACTCAAGAAGGGAGCCTATCACTCAAGCAGAGCTCCACCCCAAATACGGAGCACAGATCAGTGTTTCTCAACCTTAGCAAGTTTAAGATGTCTGGACTTCAACTCCCAGAATTCCCTAGCCAGCATGGCTGGCTAGGGAATTCTTCTGAGTTGAAATCCAGACATCTTAAAGTTGCCAAGGTTGGGAAACTCTGGCGTAGATGATCCTTCCCACTGAGGAAAGCCAATTTCTTGAACTTTTGCTGTGTGTATTTGGGATTTGTGTCCTCTATAGCAACAGAGTTGGTGGCAGAGGACAGATGTAAAAGGGCTTGCACAATGGGGGTTAATTACTTCTAATTAACCTTGTCTTTGCCCTTGGCAGTTCTAAGGTGTGGGTGGGGAGAAAATAAATCTGGATTTATTGACTGCCTGCTGGGGCTTTGCATTAACATAATACAAATCATTAGCGTTAGCAAGATGAGAATAGCTTCCTTTGGCTTCTAAATGAAGCCAAAGAAAGAAACAAGAACCGGATTCACATTGTGTGTGCTAAGTGGTGGCTTGTTTTAAACATAGTTTACTGAATTATTCATAACAGGCCGCATTTGTACATCAAGCTGAGACAATAAACCATGGTTTGCAAATCACAGTGGCTTGGTATAATATGGGCTAGATTCCAGTCCTTGTGGTACTGACACTGCCCAGGACAGCAGATAGTGTAAGCATAGATGCTATGGTTGGTACACCTTCCTTTTTTGTTTTCACTCTCAGACTAGAGAGCTACAAGTGTTAATTTGACTGGCCCTCATGCTAGAGGCCTCAAGACCTTCCCCCAGAGTGGGGTGTTGTATCATTCTGTATTGTATTACAGTGGCTATCAATACTGACGTGTTTTGTTCTTGTTGGAATTCTTCAGAAATTCATTGGAGCTGGTCAACCCTCCTTAGGTTGGACATACAAAAAATAAGATAAATAATAACCTATGGGACTACCCATGCCTGATAAATTCCAGCAAGGACGAAACCAACCGTGTAGTGCCTCCTAGTGGGTCAGTAATGATAATAGTCATAGTACTCGAATTTGTGGTCTTCACACAGGTTGCCAACCCAGACGGGGACTTGCGTCTTACCATTTTAAACTCCTCAGTCCTTGAGCGACCCCGGGCCCTAACTCTGGTGCCCAAAGAAGGGTAAGTAGGAAGGCTTTGAGTGCTTCCTCTTAAGGCTTGAAAGGGACAGCCCCTGTGGGCAGTTTCACAGGGTAACTTTGAGGATGAAGATCCAAGGGCAAGAATGAAACCCATTTATGCAAAGTATAAAATTCATATTTGGGGAGGGGGGAACAGCACATTCTCCCCTCCACCCCCATGGCCTGGGCAATCTGGCAGAAATTTGTTTGTAGAAAAAAGTCAACTTCAGAGGAGTTTCAGTTTCTGTTTCCTGTCCAGGGTTCATGGTTGTTCTCGATAGTTTGACTCATCCTGACACAAATTAGATTTAGATTCTCAGTGTTCCAGCACACTGAACACACCACAAACATCCATTCCCACCCTGTGTTCTGTCCTGTGTTGACTGAAATTACAAAGCAGCTGTCCTAGCTGAAATTTTGCAAGAATTCAAGCTTGCATCCTTCTTGCTTAAATTTATCTGAACCATCAGGGAATTCCACTATAGGTAGTCCTTGTTTAGTGACCGTTCGCAGTTATGATGGTGATGAAAAAGTAATTTTATGACCAATCCTCACATTAATGACCTGTGAAGCAAAGGAAAGCTGATGTAAGATCGTAAGCATAGTTGCGGTTTCACTTCCCTTAATGACCGAGTTGCTGGTCCCAATTGTGGTTACTAAACGAGGACTACCTGTATGCTTAATCTTAGCCCTAAGGCCAAGCTAAGAGCAAATCTAAAAAACCTCCCTTGAAGAAGACCTCTCAACTTCAGATTGGTGGGTAACATTCAAGAAGATGAACATCCAAATAGAAACAGCAACAAACAGTAGAAGAGCAAAAGCAGGAGAAGGTGTCTTCTGTAAAGACTGGGTTTTTCTTCAGTCACTAACTAGTCATATCCCCTGATCTTGTTTGTTTTCTCTTTGGCTTCAGAGGACTTGCAGCCAGGGCCCCAAAGCAATCATCCAGAAAGCTGAATCTCATATCTTGAGACTTCTGTATGTTGAAAAAAATCCCTAAAATAACCAGGAGAGATACATTCGGTCTTAGTTCAGGCCTGACTTAAGTCTCATGTTTTTCTTGTATCTCTTGTTTGTGATGACTTACATTCCCAGACTGATGTTCTGGACAGACTGGGGGGATTTCCGGCCTGGTATTTATCGAAGTGAAATGGATGGCTCCTCTGCTTCTTGCATTGTCTCCGAGGGAGTGAAGTGGCCAAATGGGATTTCAGTGGATGATCATTGGATCTACTGGACGGAGGCCTACATGGACAGGATTGAGAGGGTTGACTTCAACGGCATGCAGAGATCAGTCATCTTGGATAGTCTTCCCCACCCCTATGCAATTGCTGTGTTTAAGGTACTTCTGGAACATCTACGATAGAGCAGGCATTATCAATCTAGTACCCTCTAGGTGTTAAAAAGAGTTGTGTTTGACTCCTAGTGCCTTTATGGACACATCCATGTCGCTTTCTTGCCAATAGGATGAAACCAAGGTCCTTCTTCTAGAATTTTTTAAAATTTCCCACTCTAACTTACAGTTCTGGGTTTTCTAAAAGTCCTAACCAGCTCAACCCTGCTTAGCTTCCCAAGTCAGACTAATTTGGCCAGACATATTGGACTTCAACTCCCATCATCTCCAGGCAGCTTATCACTAACCCTCAGAACCACTATGAGTGTGAGGCAGAGCACAGCTGTCCATCCTGGCTTGTTTACTTGCTTGTACAGATCAAAGCAGGAGCAAGAGGGGTTGTATGCACTAGCATAATTACTCATGTCATAGCTTGAATGTGAGGTATGATCTTGGCTTAATGTTGCATGTGAAGCCAACTCATATATGTGAATTATGAATTTAATAGAGGTTAAGCATTATCGCTAAGCATTTGCAAAATTAGCACGGTTTGCTTGTATGGTTCTGTCTTTCATCTACCTCCATGTCTGGTCCTCCACTGAATGTTTAAAAGAGTGAAGGTTTGCTTTATTTTTCTTCCCAGAATGAAATCTATTGGAATGATTGGTCGCAATTGAGCATTTTCAGAGCCTCCAAGCATAATGGGGCCAGAATGGAGACACTGGTTGACCATCTGAATGGTGTGATGGACATGAAAATCTTCTACCATGGAAAGACCGCAGGTATTTCTGGGCCACCAAGAAATGTGGCCTTTAATTCTCTGCCACAGCTCCCTTGAATGTTAAGAACCAGACTTAAATTGTATGTAATTCCATATTTCAAGTTTGAAGGGCTTCAGTGGAAGGTAATATGCATTAATACTCTCATTTGTGGATATGTAGGCAATTGTGATGGAAGGCATGAGTGGGGAGGATTCTGGAAGGGAGCTTCAAGGTTACAGGCAGGGGGAGTGACATTCCAAGCATCTCCTCAGCCCCCAGCTGGACTGTGTGAAAGTAAGGAGGAAGAAACTGGCCCTTCCCTAAGGGCTTGATGGTTATAGTTGCTCTTGTTGGGGAATTAAAGTTAGTCTGGTGAGATTCTGTCTATTAGGTGCAAGCTAATAAAGAAGCTGAGCTGATTTCTGGACTCTCTCATGTGATTCTTGGGCTGAACCTGACAGCAATAAAGTGATTCTGGGGAGAGATGCAGAATATGGCAGGGACAGGAGGCTCTAAATTTCAGTTGTTTGGAAACTTGATGAATGGTGTGAGTTCTTCCCAGCGGGCTGCTGCTGAAGTCTGAGCTCTGTCTTACAGCAGACACAGTGCTAGGAACCCTATTTGGAAACACAGCTTCCCTAACCTGATGCCCTCTCATACAGATTACAACTTCCATCACCTCCAGTTGAAATGGTATTGTAGTCCACTATTCCTGTGAAGAATCACCTTGAGGAAGACTGTTCTTACTCCTTTGCTCTTGGGCTGTAGTTTTATTGAATTGTTAGAACTTTGGATGTGTGTAGGTGTTTAATTTGTTTATGATATAACTTATATCCTCCCAAATCAATAGATGCAGGCAGTTTACATTAATTCCAAAGCAACAACATTAAGATGGTGTCAAGTCCCTAGCACTTGGCCATTAAAACCAAGAAAGGTTGATTCTCACAGTCAGATTTATTGAAAGAAAAGGGGGTTAGGTTATAGAATCTTGGAATTTGTGTATATTAGCCCCCATTTATTAATAAGTATGTTAAGGAGGGGCCTCCTTGATGACCATGATCTTCTTTCTAACTGTCTCTTGACTTATGAGGAAGCTTGGTTTCATTTTAGAAGCTATGAATGGAATGTCCATCTGTTCTTGTTCGGCAATATTTCGCAAACATCTATTCTGGTTTCCAGGCCCATAGAATTCCTTTACAGATGGAAATAGACCAGCCTGCTCAAAAGAAAGGACCAATAGTCTGTTTTGTAGAGCAGAAACAGAAAAGAAAAAGAAACAGAAGAAAATTTAAGAATTGTTTCTATGCATAGGGCTTGAATCATAGTAGTTGCTGACATTCTTTGGTTACGGCTTTCTAACTTTCTTCCATAAACTTCAGGGCATTATTTAGCTTCTGACTATTATGCCACGGGCCCCAAAAATTAACAGAGCAAGGGATAAAAGCTGATATTGATTTCACTGAAGGTTAATTAAGATTATCAGTTGCAATGAATATGAACTTTTTCCCCCCTGAAGGAAATAATTTTCCCTTTTGAGTATAATTAAAAACGATACTTCAGTGGCAACTCTTGAAGGCAACATGTTCTCCTGAAGCTTGGTTTACAAAGTCCCTTCCTTCTCCTTCTCCCCTCCGGACAGGAGAGAATGCGTGCATGGACAAGCCGTGCAGCCTGCTGTGTTTGCCCAGGGCTAACAATAACCAGAGCTGCAGATGCCCCGACGGGGTCTCCAGCCATATGCTTTCATCAGGGGAGGTGAGATGCGATTGTCCACCCAACTATCACTTGAAGAATGGCACCTGCGTCAAAGAAGGTGAGGAATATATCTGGATGCTGTTATGCATTATCTCGGACTGGATGCCAGAAAAGTGCTTCTGAGTGCGTGAGGATGCAAATGGAACCCCTTGAAAGCATCTGCATCTTTTCTCCAGGATCATGAGGCAGTGCAGGATCCTGGGAAATGGTGCAGCTTGTTTAAAGAGTTGCAGACAAAGGGTAGCCTTGTGTTTCTGCCTGGGCCAATTAACCCCCTCCCAACAATTTCCGAATTGTTACACAGCCTTAATACACCTTGTTAGAGTCTTCTGGAGGGGTGCAAAACAGTTCATGTACGGTTCATGTTGGTTCGTGGTGGTTTGTTTCTGATCCAAGACAGTGTTTGGTTAGATATGGAATGAAACAGGGCTGTTTTGTTCTGGATTCAGTTGTTCTTGGCAAAAGTGTCTGGGGAGAAAAAAGTGGGAGAAGCCAAAGACATTGAAAGTGGTTGGGAGAAAGAGATGAAGGGAAGAGAAGATGCTAGGAAGAGTTAGGGAAGCAGGTGGGTTCATGGGGCGCTGGGAGTTGCTGAGGGGAGGAGTGGTTCGAATTGCCCACAGAACATCTCCAGGGTCCCCAGCAGTTTTGTTTGGACTGAAACCCAGAATAACTAAACATCCAGGTTTTCTTTCTACCAGAATTGCAACTTATTTGGGGTGTTTTGGCAGAACTTCCAGAATGCGATGTGTTTGCTTCAAATTTGAAACCCATGGCGTTTGCTTCGGATTTGAAACAAAACACATTTTCCATTTCGTATATGCTTTTAGAGATGCCCCAAAGAGAGGTTTGCAAGCTTTATTTGTTTGTTTGTTTGTTTGTTTGTTTGTTTGGATTTATGGAGCCGCCCATCTCACAAACGTGACTCTGGGTGGCTTACAATAACATAGATAAACCAAATAAGATACCTCGTGTAAAATAAAAAAACACATAGCTGCCAAGCATCCTAAAATATCCATCAACAAAGCCAAGAGATGGGCTCTATCACACATTCAGGGCCAGCAGGGACGGGGCTAATGTAACCTTAGATGGAATGATGTTCCACAAGCTGGGCACCACAGCAGAAAAGGCCCTCCTCCTTGGCTCTGCCAGCCAACACCCAGAGCACGCCCCTTTTACCAGACCGAGTGGCACAGGTAGAAGCAACTGGTCCCATAAGTGGCCCAGTCACAAGCCATGAAGAGCTTTAAAAGTGACTACCAGCATCTTGAATTGCATCTACAAGCGCCCTGGACTTCACTGAGTGAAGCCTCTGGACACATCATCTTGGAGAGCTGTTATGAAGCTTCTTCACCACAAAGGCTGTTTTTGGGAAGCCTTCTTGCAGTGCTGGGAACTGGGATTGTTGGCTAAATGCTGCTGTGGTACGCATTAGATTCAGGTTGTATTTCCTTTTGAATGGTTGTTGATTCTCTCTGCTGGTTTCCTCACCTGCGTCTCTCTGTTGCCGGCATCCAGAAAACACCTGTCTCTCCAACCAGTACAGATGCTCAAATGGGAACTGCATTAATAACATCTGGAAATGTGACAATGACAATGACTGTGGGGACATGAGTGATGAAAAGAACTGCCGTAAGTCATGCGGATACTTGTAGGGGGACGGGGGAGGCTTTGCATAGGTGCATGATCAAAACCAGCCCCTCTTCAAAGAAGTTTACAGTTGTCAGTTTTGACACGCAACACATCTACAGTGAGGAAAGGGCTAACGGCCTTTTTGGTTAGGGTGTTGTTCAGGTTAAGGCAGTGTTGTCCAAACTTGGCCACTTTAAGATGAGTGGACTTCAACTCCCAGA